TTTATATATATATATATATATATATATATATATATATATATATATGTCAAAATACAACAAATACTACAAAAACGACGACATCATCTGCTTAATAAAGAGTTATTACATCTATATTTCACAGTGAGTTACTTTCCATTTACTCTACTTTCTATTTTATTACGTTAGACACAATTTCAATGGCTAATTTAATTAATATTTTCTAGTCAGTCTGAGATAGCCGGACTAAAGTTACACTACATACCAAACTATGGGCTACATTGGGGTATATGTGGATTTTCTTGGTTATTGCATCCACTGACTAAGAAATTACCTGTGGAACGTCTTTCCACGGCCAGAAAACTGCTTTTTTTTTTTAGCCCAATGTTACACATAAAGGCATTTTATTGTGCGTCTGCGTTGGAGTGGGGAGGACCAGCATGGCGGATGGTGGCTTCACTTTTTTTGGGCTATCAGCAACCCAGTGAATAAATAGAGATAATTTATAGCAGCATGTAAAGGGATTACATAAAGATCAGTGTCCTAACCCCGATTCACAGTGGTAAGTCCCCGCCCCTTCCTGTTTGCGGTGGCAACAAAGTGTACCGTACCTGCGCTTCTGTGAGGAGCATGGGCTTGTTTACAGCGGAAGTGAGCCCATACTGCCTGGCTTGTTTCAACTGTCTTTCTCTGTGTTTTAGATTTTGGAAATCAAACACTATTGACACCAATAAAATTTTAATGTTTGTATAACCAAGGTTACAGCAGTATGTCTTATTTACCTTACTCCTCCTCTTTGCCTCATGAAAAGGATATTTTGCATATTTGCCCTCATAAACATCTTCAAATTCTAAACAGGCTTTGGCAGTAAAAGTAAACTTTGGATGATTTACCTGTACTAAGTTTGATTTGATTTATAACAATTCTCTGATGAATGTAACTCAAAGAATTATTTAAAATAAAACGTTTTTTTGTTGTTGTTGTTTTGTTTTTTTTGTTTTTTTACATATTTTGTTTCTCTTGAGGATATTATTTATTTATTTTTTTAAATCAAAATGTATTAATCTTGATTTGAACTTCCCACACTGAATAAAATTCTTGAATAGAGACAATAGGACACCTTAATTCGCCAAAGAGTGATGAATTATTATATGAATATTAAAATGTAATTCCTGCCCAAAAATCCTCCTAAGACATGATATACTCGCCCCTGCAACAGTGAAATAATCCACCACATACACAAAATATGAATATTACACTTGCCAGAAAGTGATTATTGCTTATGTTTTAACCTGCAGAATGTATTTTCTGCATGAAATTGCTTCATTCCACTCAAACGAAAAATACGTAGTATATTTTACTAAACTCACCCCTTGAAACACTGAAATAATCCATAAAATACATAAAAAATTACTATTTTTCTTGCCAAAAAGTGATTGTTGCTTAACTATTGACCTGTTAAATGTAATTTATATATGAAATTGCTTTCTCATTTTTAGGCATGAAAAGTAATATATCTTACTGAACTCACAGCTCTAAACACTCAGTCTGCAAAATTGTGTTCAAAATATTAACCGATAATTTCTACACAAAGCAATGGCATTACAGTAAAGAAACTATGTCTGTATAACAGCAAACAAACCCTCTAAAATTGGTAACGAAAGCAATTCTAGACAAAAATTACATTTCATATTTTAATAAACAAGCAATAACCAATTTTCTGCAAGTGAAATAGTCTTATTTTTTGGATATATTGGATTATTTCACTGTTGAAAGGGGTGAGTTCAGTAAGATATATATACACTATATTGCCAAAAGTATTTGCTCACCCATCCAAATTATTGGAATCAGGTGTTCCAATCACTTCCATGGCCACAGGTGTATAAATTCAAGCACCTAGGCATGCAGACTGTTTTTACAAACATTTGTGAAAGAATGGGTCGCTCTCAGGAGCTCAGTGAATTCCAGCGTGGAACTGTGATTGGACGCCACCTGTGTAACTAACCCAGTCGTGAAATTTCCTCGCTCCTAAATATTCCACA